AGGTCTTTCCCAAATAACCCCTTTTTTTTTTTTTTTTTTTTTTAAGGTTTTGGCCATAGGGAGTGTGTGCTTAGCAGAGAGACAGAGAGAGGGGAAGTGAGAAATCACTAGGGGATGGCCACATTGTAATCCCTTCTCCATTCTCCTCTTGGGATTTTGGGCATGTGTGCACACGTGACATGACCACATGCCCAGTTTGATTTTTTCAAGCCACCAGGTCTAGGACTCAAACCACAGTTGGCTTAACCACCACATCACCTGCTGGTCTCCTGCTGATTTTTCACCCTCCCCACCTCCGAAAAAAATTGGAATCCTTAAAAAGAGTAGCGGGTGGGGCAGGCAGTGGGATTGCAGTGACACACAGAACCGACAATGTGGAAAGATGCTGGGTTGGGGTTCTGGGACCTCCCCGAGCATACCAGGTGTGCATGCATCTTCACGATCGAGGGTGGGGGGGCTGAGATGGAGTGGGGACCCTGCTGGGGCTGCCTGTCCTGCTCGCTCATTAAATAAGCACATACAGGGGCCAGGAAGTGACATGGTGGTTAAGGGCACCGGACTCCCACATGGCCAACTGCGGTTCAAGTCCTGGACCTGGCGGCTTGCTTTCTCACTTTCTTTCTCTCTCTTACTCTATCTGGTCAAATGAAAATAAATAATTCTTTTTTTTTTAAGAGGTTTTCGCTATAGGGCGCGTGCGCTCGCCAGGCAGAGAGAGACATAGAGACAGAAAGCGAGAAATCACCCCCCAGGGGGATGGTCAAGCCGCAATCCCTTCTCCATTCTCCTCCTGGGATCTTGGGCACGCACGCACACGCACCTGGCGTGAGTTCTAAGCCACCGGGTCCGGGACGCGAACCGTGGTCGACTACGTGGGAGTCCAGCGACAGCCATTACGCTAACTGCTGGTTCCCATAAATACTTCTTAAAAAAAGCAAAAAAAAAAAAAAAAAGCAAATACTTTTAACACAAAATAAAAATGGAGGCCAGCACACAAAATTTAGGGGGGAAAATAGCACAGGATGGGGGCCAGCAAGTGCAAAGGCCCGAGGCAGGAGCCTACAGCTAGAAGGCTGGGGCGGGGAGGCAGAGCGAGGCTGAGAGGAAGGCCATGGCCAGCCTGGCTGACCACCTCATCCTTCTGAGTGGGGCCACAGGAAAGCTGAGCAGGGGCACCTCGTGTTCGCAGGTCCCTCTGGCTGGTGGCAGGATGGGGCCGAGAGACGGGAGATCTCTGACTATCCCCTGGGAGGTAATAGGAGAGGAGCAGCACAGGGCCTAGGGAGCAGAAAGCAATGGAAAACTGGAATATTCTGAAGGTGAACTTTAGGTTTGCTAATGAACTGGATGTGAGGGAAAGGATAATGGAGGGAAAAAGTATTATTACGGCCTGAGCCACTGGGAGGGCAGCCTAGGGGACAGGGGGCTTAGGCAAGATCAACAGAGGCTCAGTTTTGGCATCACTGAGTTGTGGGGCCTCCTGGGACCCAGTTTTGGCATCCTGAGTCAAGAGGGCAGCAGCATGAGTGAGGATTTGGGGGGTGCTGAGGCTGGGGTCACTGGCTTGTCCCCAAGGAAGGGAAAGGACTTGGCCTCATCTCAGCTGCCCTGGTCACCCCAAGCCACCTTCCCTGTGCTCTGGGGGTGGTGGGACGTTCCTCGCACCCACAGACCCTCTGACGATTGCCTCTGAGTGGTCACCCCGACCTTCTGCAAAGTTGGGCAGGGGCATCTCCTGTGCACACAGACCCAGAGAAGCCTTTGTTATGCCTGTTTATTGGGGACTTTTTTTATTTTTGAGAGTTTTTTTTTTTTCACTATAGGGCGCGTGCACTCGCCAGACAGACAGAGAGAGACATAGAGACAGAAAGCGAGAAATCACCCCCCAGGGGGGATGGTCACGCTGCAATCCCTTCTCCTCCATTCTCCTCTCGGGATCTTGGGCACGCACGCACACGCACCCGGCGTGAGTTTTAAGCCACCGGGTCCGGGACGCGAACCGCGGTCGACTACATGGGAGTCCAGCGACATAGCCATTACGCTAACTGCTGGTTCCCTACTAGGGACTTTTGAGGAAGGAAAAAGGAAGGGGGCATGGAGGCCTCCTCCCCTCCTCTCATCCTAGATCTTTGAAGTCCCTAGATGTCCAGCTTCCTACGGTGGTGGGGTGCCCAGTGACAACAGAGCCATTGGCAGATTCTGAAAAGTGGGCCCTGGAGTCTGGGCCCCAGGGGTGGAGCTGTGTGAGGAACGCAGATGTTAGGACGCATCCAGTTGGCCAGGGTCCCCTGGGCCCCAGGGAGCAGAGCAACCCCATCGTGGGTGGGTTCTCAGCTGGCAGCAGGCTGCCCAGGAAGCCGGGGCTTCTGGGGCTGGTTGGGGCCGATATACTGGAGAGGCACGTGGGTGGGGGCTGTGATCCGATCGGTGCCGAGGTAGGGCTGCAGGGCAGGGGGTACAAGGACCGAGCCGTCCTGGGGACAGAACAGAGCAGGACTCAGGACTCTGCAAGTACCAAGCCTCCACCCTCCACCCCCCACCTCGCCACTGGGCTTCCTCGACCCCCTCACCTGCTGCTGATTGCTCTCCAGGAGGGCGATGAGGAGGCGGGGGACAGCGCAGGCTGTGGCGTTCACCTGGGAGGGAGGCAGGCTCAGAGCTAGGTGCCGGCCCAGCCCTGGCCGGGCGTATGTGTGGGGAGGTGTCTAGGGAGCAGAGGAGGTGGGCAGGCCCTCACCGTGTGGGCGAACTGCAGCTCCCCGGCCTCGGTCTGGAACATGATGTGCAGGCGGCGGCTCTGGAAGTCCGTGCAGTTGGAAGCACTGGTGACCTGGGGCGCAGTGGGGTGGGCTGAGAGGACAAGCTGGGGGGTGGGCCGAGAGGACCAGCTGGGGGGTGGGCCAGTCTCCTTCCCGCCCCGCGTCCCCTCTGAGGCAGTACTCACTTCTCCAAAGCGTCCGCGGCCTGGCATCCAGGCCTCAATGTCAAACTTGCGGTAGGCAGGAAGGCCCAGTTCCTGAGTGGGCATGTCCAGGACCCTGCAGCCAAGGACGAAGGCGAGGTGAAGGCCAGTGGGTGTGAGGTGGAGGAAGTGGGGCAGGGAGGAAAAATGGAGGCGATGACAGAATGGGTGGCCACGAAAGAGGAAAATGGCAGTAACAAAGGAGGAGGTGAGCATGGCGAACAGGAAGAGAGATACGGGTGGCAAGGGAGACGGGGGTCCTGGGACGGGCAGGCGGCAGAGGCCACGGGTTGTCCACTACGGCTATTCCCACCTCCCGTAATAAGGGATACTCCAACTTTTTTTTT